CACTTGCAGGTTAAGCGAATTAAGCAATAGAGGACATGAAAATGGAGGAAGGCTATGGAAGTCGGGGGGAGGAGGGGACAAACTGAAGCTGCAGGAGGTGGAGGAGATAATGGGCCCGCTGTCTGCTTGAGAGGAAACTCAATTTTCTGAGCAGAAGGAGATCAGAAGATGAAAATGAAAGAGGGGGAATCTGGAAATACCCTGGTTTTTGTCTAAAGAGCCGTTTGGATGGTGCTCACACTTTCACTGCGGTTCAGCCGTGTAGCAGCACTGCTCTATACAGCACTGTGTCAGCCTGTGAACAAACAGACATCGAAAACTCTGAGAAGAAATATTCATAACTTTGGTCGTTCTCTCGCTTAAGCTCCTTTAAATCCGGTCAGTTTGTGATTTACTGTAACTGTGTGCACAAAGGGATGCATAACGAAGGCTCAGCCTGCTCAGGTCCAGTCTCATCACTATTAAGTTAAACTTTTATTAAACATTAGCTCAGATAAAACATATTTAAAACATATATAAGTATTAATACAATATTGTATTGCTGTAGAATCTTTACCTTACAAAATAAAGCGCCTTCAGGTGACTGTTGTTGTGCTTTTGGTGCCATATAAATAAAACTGAATTGTAATTGATTTAAATTAAGCAGTGAGGCATCTTCCTGCAGCTCAGCTGGACCTGCTGTTGGCTCATGTAGCACAATATGTACTTTATTATTATTTAGTCTGAATAGTGAGTGTAAGCACCTTCACACTATAACGAGCACGAGGACGGTGCTCATTTATGTTTGCCTCATAATGGAATATGAAATGCTCTGTCGCTCGTTTCATCAGTAAGCTGACTGTCCTTCATTATTATTTCAGCATTCACAGAGCAGGCTGAGAGGAAGAAAGGCCTTTTCAGTATTAAAATGAATATGTTAAACTTCTGGAAATCACCTTTTATTTTTATCATGTCTGCATGTTTGCATCTGAGAATTTAAACCTGGAAACTTGAAGTTTGTTTTCTGAAACTTGCTGTGATACAAAAACTGTCCAGTTCCCTTTTCTTAGAAAGAGACATGCTTCTTGTGTTTTTCTTCTTTAACACACAGTTAAGGAATGAAAAGGTTAAATCTAATCATCAGCTGCTGGACAGTAAATTACAATAGAAATTATTCTGAAATATCCCAAATTTGCTAAAGCAGTTTCTGTGACATCTGTTTGTACCCGAGGCTGTGACACACATGCAGGTCCAAACACTGTTCAAACAGGTGTTCCCTGACAAACCTTTGTGTGTATGTTTTAGATGGTATTGAAAAGGCCGGCTAGCTTTGTGCAGTCTTTGCTGTGTCTCAGCTTTTTTTACCTCCCTTCTTAGATTTGCTGTTTTGACTGCATACACATATTCCCAGTTAAATACAGCTACATGAAGTGATTTGCGAGTATGGTGTAACCATATAGAACAAAAGGTTGTGCGTTGTAGGTCGTCGTCCTGGCTGCGCAGCACAGAGGGAGGGACCACCAAACACTTTATCCTGACAGCTAACTGAAGCCTGGTTCCTGATGTGCTCAGTTTCAGTTTTTCTCAACACTTGTCTGTCCAAATTCTACAGGAAATGCTACACAAGTACGTGTGTGCAATGAGTGCTACCAAAGAATGTAACAGAAGAATAATCCAAACTTTAACATGTCTCGCACTTTACCTTCAACAGTCCTGTAGAACATAATGACTTCCTCTCTTTCCTTGCATCACTCAGTTTGCTGACTTCATGTGTGGAGTCTCTGCTTACCTTGCTTTCTGTCCTTGATACACTTTGTGACCAATGGGGGCTCGTCCGGGATTGGTAAGGTTACAATTTGCCTCACAACGTGACATTTTCACAGGACCACACATGTAGCCTGAGTAAAAAGCAGACCTGCACCGTACTCAACCTCACTGAGTGCATGAATCACGTAGAAATCAGAAATGTGTTGCTTATGTGTGCTTGTGTAGCTTTTGTGCTATTTAATGTCAGTTATTTTAGCTTTTTATTACATTTCTGCGTTTTAGTCTGGTTGTTAAAGAGGAGGATCTCATGCTGCAGGCTTAATAATGCTCAGGCCTCTTCAAAGCAGGTTTTTCTTTTCTTTTAAATGTTTTTGTGGGATTTGCAGATTGTTTGACTGATGATTTGTGTTTTATATTAAGCTGTCGGAGAGCTCTGGAGAAGAGCACAACAACGATGAGACACAAAGAAACACTAACCGATCACTGTTTCACCATCTTCCTGCTAAAGAAAACCACTTAAAAAACTGACGCCTGGTCCCGTCCATCTGTCCTCTCACATCCTTCTTTCTGTATTTATCTTTCACACACAAACACACACACAGAGAAAGTGTGGGCGTGTTTTGGATGCCTGCTCTGTTTGGCAGTTAACAAAATGTCACATGGATGTCACTGGGTTTTATAATCTGGATACCAGAGAACATAATCTCCATTCTAATTATGAGAGGAGGAAAAGAAGGAGGAGCAGAGCGGGAAGGCATCTGGACAGACTGGAAGGAGATGGAAGAAGCACAATGTGAGCTGCTGTTGGTGGTGAGTTCAGGGGCGGTACTGCTCTGTTACGTCACACATTTTTCAGGGTTTTAAAGGGAGTGGGCCTTTTAACTATGACATAGCCAATTTACCCAAAGACATAATAAACTAAAACAAGATAAATTATTTAAAGAGCTTAAGATTAACAACAAGTTTTAACTTTAAAACCTGCATTAAGCAGAAGAAATAACATAAAATCACTTAAACTACAGATTCTAGTGTAATCACAGTCAAGCAGAGTTAATCCTGCTTCCAGAGACAATAACCACCAGCAGCCAGAATAAAAAATAAAACTAATAAAACAACAACAGTAGATTCACTTTGTTGTGTTTTCATGAGATAAGATTGGTTGCCCTAACAGGACGCCACTGCGTAACACAATTTCACCCACCAATTTGTTGACTTGATGTCTGCAGTCACATTTATCTACAGTTATCAGCAAACAATAAAAACCTTTGTTAGAGGCTTGTGACATAAGTCCCAACGATGCCACCGGACTAACCCACGGTCATATGGTCACACTGGCTCAGGTCGAAAATGCTTCAGTCTTTAAACCTGCTGAGTTCATGCAAAGCAAGAACCAGCTGCTTTTTCACCGAGGGCACTGCTCGTATTCAAGCTTTAGCAAGAAACTCACTTTCAGGACCCTGAAGATGCAAATTACTAATTAATCAGTTCAGTTTCTATTCATTAGTGTAGCTGAACTTAAAGGGTCATATTCTCTCTCTTCTGTCCTGCAATTCTGAATAGTGCTCCAAAAAAAGAAAGGGAAGAAGAATGGATCCATCCATTATCTTCAATTTTTCCATTTCAGGGTTTAGGGGCTTTGATCGATCTGGTCTAAAATATCATAATTCAAAAATAATTTTAAATAATTTTTAAAAAATCTAAAATATTTACCCAAACTGTAAGGCTTCCCTCTCTAATGGACCAGTGTACTGGCAAACAAACATCTCTTATCGAACTATAGGAAGCTTTTATACTGAGCTTGTGCTTCTGTGATTCAGCCATTAGCAGCATTAATGGATATAAGGAATATAAATATAAATATAAAAGACAGGGAGTATGGAGAAGTAAAAATAGGGGATGGGGGGGGGGGGCTTTGAGGTAAAGAGGAAGGGAGGGGCAGGAGGTATACGGAGAGAGAGAGAGAGGGAGAGTGACTACAATAAAAAGGCTGATGTCATCTCTGTGAAGCAGCCAATCCGAGAGCAGCAGAGAGGGAAGGAGGGAGGGAGAAGAGGCAGAGCTCAGAAGGGTGTGTTTTCTGTACCACTGCAGCATCAGTGCAAAAAAAGACAGGAGGAAAAGGCACGAGTCAGTGGACTGGACCGAGAAACAATACAGAGCTAGAAGAAGAGCCACGGACAGGAGCCTGAGAGGAGGAGACACATCAAGAGGAGACACCTGCAGAGGTAGGACTAACACTGAAGCATCCCAGGCTTCTGCTGATGTCTGGGTTTCCATCCATGAATGTGTGTGTCTGTGTGTCAGTGGGTTGGAGATCAGGGCTGGAGGCTCTAACGGTGTCTTACATAATAGGAAGGCAGGTAGTGTGTGAGCGACTGTGCTGAGATACTAGACAAGTGTTTGTGTGTCACTGTACATACATGTGTGGGTGTTGGTGCGCACTTCCTCCTGTCTGTGATTTCACCTTTTGACTCAAACATGCTCGGGTCAGTAAATGTTCACTCGTGATGTTTGTGCGGAGGTAAATCCATCTGTAGGGAGTGTCTGACCTGATCCAGCTTTTTAATATCTGATAAATCATCTGCGGCCGTGTGTTTTTATGAATATTGAATGAAATGCTGCACTATACCACATTATCGTGTTAAATTATTCACTGCTGCTCTGTAGCACGCTTCCTTTCATGCTAAAAGTCTCTGCCAGGAATGATTTAGTCTGATCTTCATATCTCCAAACAAGATAACTGCAATTCCCATCTTGTGTCCATGCCAGCTTCCAGGCTGCTGTCCGCCCATGGCCTGGTGCTGAATGGTGCTGTTTCCAGGTTAACAGGGTCTTTGGTTTGTCCAGTTAGTGGTCCAAAACCAAGAACATATTCAGTTTATCAGCATTTATGACCAAGAAACGTGTAAAAAAAAGTGTTTCCTGTAGCTCAACTTCTCTCTGAATTGGGGAGGAAGAGAAAGCTGTGTTTGTCCTTTGCTTCTGTTTACTCTGGAATTCCTCTTTTTCCTCATGGCAACATCATTTAGGCCTCTTTGTCATTCTTTGCCTGCATTGTGGAGTTTTCTCACTTAAAATTAGGCCAGAACCTGAGAGCAGGAATAAGAGAGAGGAGGTGGAAGGAGAGCTGAAGGAGGGGAAGTTGATAAGGTGCAGAGTTTGAGTGAAACGGGAGGTGAAGGATTTAGCCCAGAAGAGCCTGAATCCAAAAAGAGCAGAAGAAATGAGAGGATGTGGAAGGTGAGAGGGAGCCTGGACTGGGATGAGAGGAGGAGGAGGAGGAGGGATATTTAGGGCTGAGTGGCGTAGGAGGATTTTTAGCCCTTTTCTCTTTCTCCCCTCCCCAGATCTTTGGCAGCAGTCAAACTGACTGAAACCATCTGCCTGCATTTTTTATTCAGGCTTTTGTACTTACAGTAGACTACCTCCAGACAGCCACATGAAAAAAATATGCATCATGAAAGGAGCGCTCTGCACAGCCCTGTTCTCAAGACATGACTGCAATAATTAACAAATGATGTTTTTAACCTTTACTGTTCTTTGAACAAACATATCCATCTTTTGTTTTTGCTGCCAGTAACATGAAAAAGTAGCTTCCCACTGTTTTGCAGCACGTCTTCTTTAAAAAACACTCTGAGCTGATCCGTTTCTGTGCTTTGAAAGTCGACTGTTTCCTGCCTCAGACTCAGTTCAACAGTCTTCTGTCATGTTTAGTGGAGAGGAAGCAGCAGCACCGACGCATTTCAGACTGAGCTCAGTTCCAGCTCTGCGTCTGCTTTTCGTTCTCGTGAATGAGTTTGAGCTTATTAAAGTGTTTCTGACAGGAATTCCCTTAAACAGACTCGTGTCTGTGTGCAGCGCCTCACTGCAGACGGAGCGCTGAATTTTTAATGATATTAAGTTGTGCAGATGATGAAGTTTCTCTATTTCACAATCAGACCATAACCTCCCCGTCTTTTCTTCTGAAAGCCTTTCTGAGATTTTTGTTTTTACCCTCAATTAAATACATTAAATTAAATTAAATAATGTATAAAATAAAAATTAAGTACATATATATTGTTGAAATTAGGAGCAGCTCTTTCTAATTACACTGACACTCACTGTCCTCTTTATTTGTCTTAATGTCGACAATATTTATGAAACTAAGTGAACGATATCTGCAGAACATTGATTTGATTTGAATTTTTACAGAAAAAAGCCCAAATGAAACCAGCTAACCCTGTGTGCGCCGCTGGTGACGTGGTGATTAAATCACTTCTTCATCGATATATTTCTGTGTTTTTGCTTTTGTATCATCCAAACATTATGACACTTTAAATTCTTTAATATAGTTTTCTATAATGACACCAACCCGTACGTTGCAGAGAGCCAGCTGATAAGAAATGATATGAAGCTGACAGCAGTTACAGAGTGTGCGAGAGCTGGGCGCTCGGTGCTGTCCAACAATGTGGCACACACTGAGCCTCCTGTGTGAGTCTTATTCATCAGACAAAACTCGCCCACCTGACACACCTGATACAGTTAAAAGCATTTGAAATTATTCAGACAGCCTCTATCTGATCAACCTGGATTCTGAATTATGACACAAAAATGATGACGTGTTTATTCATCTACATTTACAAGATCAATATACTAATAAGAGGTTATGAAAAGGGCAAAGATATAACAAGTGGCATAAATGGGGCCCATCTGTAAACATCTGTCACAGTTTCCAGGCTGGGAGCAAACATTTACCGAAGCGTTGATCCAGACGCGTGATCTTTGGAGTGTTTGAGGTAAAAATGATATCATCACTTTTACAGATATGGGTAAAGACTCTTCACACATCAAAAAATTAAACTTTACGCAACATTTCTGAAAATAATATCAACGTAAACTCTGTGGCAGTTTCTCCACAACTTTTTGTGACTTTTTATAAATAAATATTTTCACATAAATATTCTCCATTAATCGTTTTCTGACGTCCCGAGCAGCATTTAGCAGCTCTGCATGCAGAACATGTCAGAGGAACGATGCGGTTGTTTAGCAGAGACTGTTGAAACCTCTTTAAAAGCACTCTGACTGAAGTTGTTACTGAGAGTAATTCTGGGCCCAGTAAGCAGCCAGAGGCGCCCTCGGGCAAGCCTCGGTGTCTACATCCCTACGTTAGCATGCAGACTGGGAGGACAACCTGAATTTGTCCCAGCAGGTCTATCAAGTGGATCAAAGAATGAGCAGTTTGGACTAAAAGGTTTCAGCCGCAGGTCCGCAGGTCAGATGGAGGTCTGGGTGCAGAAAATAAGATTAGTCTGAATTTAGCTCTTTCTCAGTTCCTCTGTCCGTCTTTGCTCTGAGCATCGTCTGTGATTCTCTTTGTGGCATTTCTCATCCATCTTCATCCATCTCGCTCTCACGCCCCCGCTCCCTCCCCCTCGAAACATCTTTCCTCTCTTTTGACCTTTCGTTCTTCCACATCGCCTTTTTTCCATTTTACCCTCAACAAATGAGGTCTTTGTGTTTAGAAATTAAGGAATGCCCTTAACACCCCCCTCCCATCTTTTCCTCCTTCCTTTTTCGAGTGTGTGTGGAGATTGGGGGGTGCGTCCATTAGCCCGGATTAGAGCCTGTAGGCAGGTTTTAACAGCCCCTCTGTGTTTGGGGCTTTAATCTCTTCAGAAGCAGCTAATCTGACTTCACTGGCTTTAACACACACTCACTCACACACACACACACAC